ACATCAGATGTACAGCAGAGGCAGGCTGGACTCTCACATCAGATGTACAGCAGAGGCAGGCTAGACCCTCACATCAGATGTACAGCAGAGGCAGGTTAGACCCTCACATCAGATATACAGCAGAGGCAGGTTAGACCCTCCCATCAGATGTACAGCAGAGGCAGGTTAGACCCTCCCATCAGATGTACAGCAGAGGCAGGCTGGACTCTCATAGCAGATGTACAGTCAACAAGAGAAGTCCATGTATGTGTGTGTATGTATGTATGTTAACAATAATAATTAAAGAGGTGAGAATTTGAGATGGAGTGGGAGCATGCTAGGAGTTTCAGGGGAGAGGGAAGGGTTAAAAAACGTAAGTACCACATTTCCCTCCTGCATTTTGAGGCAGGGTTTCTCACTGAGCCTGGGGTTCACTTTGCTAGACTGGCTGGCCAGCAATCCACAGGGATCTTCCTGTCTCTACTTCTCCCACATTGGGATTACAGGCATGCACTGCCATGCCTGACTTTTTATTTTATTTTTTGTATGACTTCTGGGGATTGAGTTCAGTTTCTTATGTTTGTGCAAGAAACACTTTACTGACTGAGCCAACTCTCCAGCCTCATTTTTCTAAAAATTATTTAATCTTACAATTTCTTTACGGAGAAATTCTCTGAGTCCCTAGTGGGTTTCCCAAGTGTTCCAGAGAAGTACATGGAAACAGCCCGTCTTTGGGTATCCACTTATTTCTAGATAAAACCACAAGGGTAAGCAGTGTAAGCCCACTCCATCTCAGAGCCACAAAAACACACAGGCATGTAGCTAAGGAACCTGTAGCAAAACACTGGGACAGACCTTGCATAATTTAAATTTAGCAGGCAAAGCTCTAATTTTAGATTCAGTGACAAGTTACAATGGGAGAGGTCTGTGTGTAGAATAGTGACATGATGAAAGCATCCCGAGAGCCCCTTGGGGCACAGCCAGAGGTGTCAGCAGCAGACAAATAATGCATCAGATCTGCCTAGAGAACAAGACTGCAGTAAAGTAAACCACTCCACTTCTGAATCATGTAAAATAGACCCACATTGCCGACATCCCGGAACGAAGAGGGACTCCGTTACAGATGCTTTGCCATTTCACTTCAAAGACCAGGCTCTGTGACAGGCCGTTTTCCCTTCCTCCCACCCTCCTGCCCATCACAGGAAGAGCTGTTCTCAGTCAGCACCGTCTGTCATGCTGTGCACGACTGTGCTGGAGTCTCAGCACTGGGCTGCCAGCTGTGGGAGAACGGTAGTGGTGACCCACCGAGCCCAGTGCCGGCTGGAAGCAGGGCGGTGCAGTCTGATCCAACACAGGGATGTGAACACAGCCAACCTGATCATGAACTACAGCCACGCCTGCGTCACACTCAGGCTCAGGGTCCCCGCTACACACATTGAGCTTTCACAGTGCCTTCAATGCACTCCATGCTTTTTCTAACCTGGGGTCTGTGCTGGCTGGCTTACACTATGCAGAAACAGATTGAAATGCATATCTTAAAAAATGACCCGAGGAAAGACATTCTACGTCTGTACTCTACTCTTGAGAAAGAAATTGGTGCATTCATAATTTAAATACCGAATTAAGTAATAATGTTGTTTACTGAATGTTGCTGTGTGCCAGGAACCGGAGGCTGTGAGTTGATGTTTCCTGGCACCATGTCTGGGCTGCAGATTCTAAAGAAGGATCACCTGGCTAGAACTGCATGATTGCGGAGAGTTGGAATATTGCAGATTAAAAACCCAAATTATCTCAGGCTGTCTTGGTCCCCATAATAGCCAATTATTGCCAGCCTCTTTATTGACCTAACAACTTTGTTATTATTAGGTTAAAACTTTTGGAATGTATTAACTCAGCAGGCCACTAGTCTACTGACTTAAAGGCTAAGAGCATTATCAGGTGGCATCTGAGGACTGAGAGGTTTCCCTGTTTGGCTGGTGCTCATCTGGCCACTGTCCCCCGCCCCCCCCCCCGCCCCCCGGCCCCACCAGTGTGCTTGGCTGAGCTTTGCTTTATGACTGTCTTCCATTCTTTAAAGTTCCTGTAGCCACTTCCATGGTGGAACATACCATTGAGGGAAACTTAAATCCAGATTCCTGGGCCACAGTCACCCAGGTAAACTGTGGCTTCATCTCTTTGAAGATGAGCCCCGTTTTGTACGAAGAGTCCCCTCATCCTTGCGACAGCCCCCTGAGTGGGTGCTGCAGCCACCTTTAGTCTACAGTGAGCAGACTAAACAGAGAGGTGAAAGAACCCTGGACAGCGCAGTGCTGTGGACTCAGTGGTGGGATTCCAACGTCCTGTCTTGAAACCCTGGGTGTCTATGGCGATTGGGTCTCACAGGATTGGTCCACTACCCTTATCAACTCTTTAGTACAGGAAAAGGCTAGGCGTCTATAACCGTTGCACTTGGGAGGTGGGGGCAGGAAGATCAGGAGTTCAAGGTCATTCTTGACTATATAAGCGAGTTCCAGGCCAGCCTGGGCTATATGAGATGAGACCCTGTTTAGAAAATTAACCAAGGGGAGAAAAGAAGGGGAGGAGACACCAGAAGGTGGGTATCCTCTTCCTGCCCCAGACATACAGAGAAGAGGCTGTGTGAGGACCTACCCAGAAGAGCACTGTCCACAAGCCAGGGACAGGGCCTTCCCAGGGGCTGCTGCAGCTAGGGCTCAACTCTCAGGCTTCTGGCCTCCAGAGCTAAGAAGAGAAGAGCCTGCCACGGGGTCTCCCTGGCTGTGGTGATCTGCTCTGGCCATGTGACCACCACAGTGAGAGGAACCTGGGAAGGAACCTCAGTGAGGAGACTCTCATCTGGGAAGCTGGCTCCAGAGCCTGTGGTATTTCCATAA